GATTGGTGTATGTGGCAGGGAAATTGGTCGAAAAAATGATCGCACCGGAATAATTTTTTTTTTTTTATTATCTAAAGTAACACCCTTCGGACTTTCTCAATTAATATGAGCGTTCAATTTCACTGTCGTTAAAATTATTTTTATAAAAAAACTAATATATGACGTGGACTTTTTTTGTATATCTATCTAAACATTTTATTTATAGAGTTTTTTTTCCTTCACCTTAGAGTTATGGCGCCACTAAACCATAGCAGAGTTTTCTGTTTTTTATTATTTTGCTTTTTATATTTTATTTTAATCAATTTTATTGTGAAAAATGAGATTATGAGGCGTGCACTTTTGGATTTTCCAAATTTTTTTTTTTTTTAATAATGAATTTATATTAAATCCAACGTTTTGGAATGTAAGTTTTACCATTCCCAGCGATTACCTTTCGAGTCACTACAAAATTTTAAATCTGAATAAAATAAACAGTACCACCTCTTATCTAGAAAAAATATCACATAAATTTAGGTTAGTTTACTTATTTTGATGATTTTTTTATTATATTAATTATAAGAGATGTATTTGATTGAATGATAGTACTTACTATTTCAACAAAATCAAATCAATATATTATATTCATTACGTTTATTTATTGCGTTATATTTATACTTGTTACTATATTTATACTCGTTACACTTGTTAACACACGTTTATTTTCTTTTTACTAATTTATAAATTTTTATGTCGATATAGTAGCTGTACCCATAAAATATTGGCCATAATTCGATAGAGTTATTGATTGTCGTGCCAAGTAGCATCGCGGGAAAAACTAGTAGCATTGCGAGATGTGCGATGCAGTATGGGGCTGGCGGCAATGCTGTTACGTCAAACCTACTATGCGCCCGTGTAATAGACGCAACAATTCTGGTACTATACAGTATATTAGTAGATACTCCTATACTCATAGGAATTATAGCAATGCTCTGCAGCAACATAGGGATATCCGCAATGTATTTCTTTCCGTGTGCTAAGTGTAATTTTGTTAGGATCAGGAATAGTAGTTGTAGCTTTAGGACATAAAGAAATCAGGATAGGAAAAAAAGTCTGAGAAAGTAGGGTAGAAAAAGAAGAATTCTTTATTAAAAAGTTGAAGTGACGTTTTCATTGTTGTCCCTTTTCGTTGCTATGGTGACCACTTTGGCAACGATTACTATAACAACGGTTACAATGGCAACGGTTACCATAGTAACGGTTACTATATGGCAATGGTTACCATAAAAAACATTAGTATCCCTTGTGGAAATAATTTGCTGAAAAATCTCTTACAAAGTCTTCAAAACTCTGCAGAAGACATTTTGAAAGTCTAACCGTCCTTAACTAAGTCCTGAGAAGAGTGAATAAGTCTTACAAACTCTTCAAAACTCTCTGAAAAAATCAAATGTTTCCTGAAATTTCGGACTTTCAGTAAGAGTTCTAAAGAGTTTAAAAGACTTATTTATAGTTTTACAGAAAAAAAATGTAGGCAAAAAATTTACTCTACAAGAGTTTTAAAGGATTAAGAAGAGTTATTAAGTAATGATGCTCTAAATGATAAAAAAATTTAAATATTTATTATATTGTTATAAATTTATGTTTTTTATTTATTATCAGCCTTAATGCATCAATTAATATATGTATAAATATAATAGATAAATAGAAACATTTTGACGTAAATATATTATATTACAGATCTAAAATAACGCACACCTAAATAAAATGCATAAATAGGATTACACTTTTACTGCAAAATTAAAACATTTATAATGAAGAAGTCAAACAAATTATAAAAATGTAACCGAACTAATTCACAGTATACAATTTAACGGAAGAAATGTAATAATAACATCAGGTTTACAATGTGCAAAGCCAAAAATTTTTTCATTTTGTATTGATTGCATTTAACCAACTTATATGAGCTTTCACGAAATTGACTCAAGTATTAAGTGTAAATGACTTACATCAAGTAGTTTTAATCATAATAATTTTTTTCCAACATACCCGTGTAAAAAAAATCGTCTTAAAATTGTCGTTCGTTTAAGATCTTAAACGTGACACAAACTAAGACTATTTTAAGACGCCAAAAGAAAAAAAATTCCGAGTAGATTTTTGAAAATTTGATTCTCGAATTTGTTGTGAAAATTAATTTTTAGACGATTTTACGACTTTCTAAACGCAATATTTTTGAGTAAGGTGTTTTTAAATTGAATTTAAAATTGTTAAAAAATTATTATCTGACAATTTTAAGACATCCCGTTTTAATCTTCCGGGGCTCTGTCACTGTTAGCCCATCTTAAAATAGTCTAAATTTTTTTTTAAGATTTTTTTAAGACTACCCTGATTTAAAAAAAGTATTGAACCATGCAACTGTATATCTATATTGTATGTATATATAGATATACAGTGTGTGAAAAGTATTGAAAAAGTATTGAATTACATACTTTTTCAATACTTTTTTTTAATCAGGGTAATTTAAGATAATTTTAAGACAATTTAAAGACGCTCCATAATAACTTTCGGAAAATTATTATGGAGCGTCTTTAAATTGTCTTAAAATTATCTTAAATTAGTCTTAAAAAAATCTTAAAAAAAAATTTAGACTATTTTAAGTTTAATTAAAATTTTTTAATTAAAAAAGTGATTATGTCAATTAAAGAAATAATGTTTTTTGTAGGCTCCGCAGACAAGATCACAGCCAACTTCTTCCATCAATGTTCCACCTGTTTTGAATGATATAACGGTAAGTTCTAGGGAACTAATACCTACTGTTTACTTGTTTACATTTAATTTTTTCTAAAATGTAAATGAAAGATATTTCATTTATGTATGTTATGTTTAGAATTCAAATTCAAATCAATTGGTTCGACGTTTAATGAAAGACCTAAAAAAGAAAGATGAAGAAATTTTGAATTTAAGACGTGAAGTTCAAAAATCGAGATTAGATGCAGCTACTGGGCGTAAAAAACTCGCTCAAGTAGAGCAGTAACTGCGTCAACTACAACAGCAACAACAACAGCATCAACAGCAACAGCGTTATGATCTGTATTATTATTTAGATCACGATATGTTCAACGTTGGAGACGATATTACAATTCCAAGTAGCGATTCGCGTGCAGCATTTAATGCAAAGACACCCGCTAAATTCATCCGAATAATGTCTCACGCCATATGGGGTGTGGAAACTCTCTCGCAAAGAGTAGTACGCACACAGAAAAACACGACAGGTCGTATAATCAGTTAAATTAACACCTCGAAAAAAAGAACTGCTGCAAACACACTACCGATATTATTTAGATCAACAGAATTACTCTCAAGAAATATTCAATAGAGAAATAAAAGAGGCGACCGTCAATAAATATCTGGACAGTGCTATTCAAGTCGCAAAAAAATAATTTAAACAATAGTTTTAGAACTTCCATTTAAAATGTTCTTTACAGTGATACTCTGTTGCAATAGAATATATATATATTTATAGCATTTAGAGAATTAGAGTGTTATTATTCAATAAGTCGTTTGAATTATTATTAAATAATAAAAAAATAATCTAAAACATAAAAAATAAGTTAATTCTAATCTAAATAATTGTTCTTTGATCTAAGCCTTTATAAATGAAAAATAAGCTAATGAATAAATATACTTTGATGTAAACCTTCCACTCAATGAATAAAACTTACTTAATTGCATAAATTGATGATTTGTGGAAAAAGATACACAATTTTCATTTTTGTATTACTATTTAAATTTTTCCAAAGATGTACTCTAACTGTACAAATATATATGCATGCATGCACATATATTTGAATATATATATTAATTCATGTATTGAGGCTGATTATAAATAAAAAAACATAAGTTTATAACAATACAATAAGTATTTAAATATTTTTTACCATTTAGAGCATCATTACTTAATAACTCTTCTTAATCCTTTAAAACTCTTGTAGAGTAAATTTTTTGCCTACATTTTTTTTTCTGTAAAACTATAAATAAGTCTTTTAAACTCTTTAGAACTCTTACTGAAAGTCCGAAATTTCAGGAAACATTTGATTTTTTCAGAATTTTGAAGAGTTTGTAAGACTTATTCACTCTTCTCAGGACTTAGTTAAGGACGGTAAGACTTTCAAAATGTCTTTGCAGAGTTTTCAAGACTTTGTAAGAGATTTTTCAGCAAATTATTTCCACAAGGGTATAGCAACGGTTACTATGACAACGGTTACCGTAGCAACGGTTACTATGACAACGGTTACTCTAGCAACGGTTACTATGGCAACGGTTACCATGGCAACGGTTAAAAATTAATGAGTAAAATTTGTAAAAATATTGATTAATTGAATTGTCGATAATAAACATTTTGACTGAAGTGCGCAAAGCGTGTTTGATTTTCTAGTTAGGTAAATAGCTAATTAATCTGAAATATTGAAAATTTACAAAATCGTCCCCTAGCGAATAACCAAAAGTTAAACAAGCTGATGTGTTGAACATCTCTTTGCCAAGCTCCTGTAGACTCTGATTCATTAAACTCAGCTAGCAGAATCTCGCCCAGATCTTTTTTGAAGAGCTCCAAATAATTATTTGTGCTTGTAGCACATTGGTTTGTCCCACCCAAAGTATTTTCATTATTGAAAACATCAGTTGGTGGAATAATATCCCGGAAAAAAATGATCAGACCTGACCATGTCTGTTCATGTATGATCAGGCCTGAAATTAGACCTGCTCATGTCTGTTCATGTATGATCAGGCCTGAAATTAGACATGGTCATGCCTGTTCATGTCTGTTCATATCTCAAGCGTTAAATATGCTCAGGCCCGATCATACCTGTCCATGCCTATTCATGCTAAGGACCAAATATGCTAAGAAAAAATTTTTGAAGATGTTCAGTGTATGTACATTAATTTCAATTAATAAATTTTTAAATTATCAATAAACGGTATATTTTATTATTCAATAAATAAATGTATTTTGATTATCATTCAAAACCTACCGTAGGGTAATTTTAATTAACTTTTCTAGGCATGGACAGGTATGAACAGGCCTGAGCATATTTAATGCTTCAAACATGAACAGGCATGGACAGGTCTGATCATTTTTTCCCGGGCTGGCGGTTTCGGCGACACGATGAAAGCACGGTCGACTGACAGTTGTTTCACAGTCGTTTCACCGTATAAAGTTCGTTCTTACCGAGCGATTTGTCAGTCAGCATCGGATACCGTTGTGAACGATGTTTACTATAAATCTATATTATTATAAGAGATTTCTATCTATATAGTCACTTATCACGATATCTCGGAAACCATCAGACCTAGAAACTTGAAATTTGGTAGGAATATTACTTTTGCCATGTAGAGGTCAGCTAAGAACGGTTTTTAAGAAATTCCTTCTCCAAAGGAGTTTGCGGGGGCGTTAACAATGAAAAATTCCCGTTTTTTAACTATAGCTCCTATCGACTCCAAATTTGGTAGGAATCTTCTGTCAGAGATGAAGAAATAGTATATGAATGAATTTTACGATAGATCACCCCGCAGGGGGTTGTGGGGGTGTGTATCAACAATGAAAATTTTTAATTTTCCAACTATAGCTCCTACAGACTCCAAATTGGTAGAAATTTTCTATAAGTGATGTAAAAATCATTTATGAACGAATTTTACGGTATTTCACCCCATAGGGGATCGCGGGGGTGGGTATTAACAATGGAAAATTTTAAGTTTCAAACTATAGCTCCTACAGACTCCAAATTTGGTAGGAATTTTCTGTAAGTGATGTATAAATCGTTTATAAACGAATTTATGATAGCTCACCCGACAAAGGATTGCGGGGGTGGGTGTTAACAATAAAAATTTTTAATTTCCAAGCTATAGCTCTCATAAACTTCAAACTTGGTAAGAATCTGCTACATGTGAGGTAGAAATGATTTAAGAGCGGATTTAATGATAACCTACACCAAATATGAATTGCGGGGGTGGGTGTTAACAATGAAAATTTTCAATTTCCAAGCTATATCTCTTAAAGGTTCCAAATTTGGTAAGAATCTGCTATATGTGTAGTAGAAATGATCTAAAAGTGGATTTTATGACAACTCACTCTAAATATGGATTGAGGAGTGGGTGTTGACAAATAAAAATTTTGGTTTTCAAAATAGAACTCCTACATGCTCTAAATTGAGTAGGAGTCTTCTATATGTGATATAGAAATGATCTAAGAGCGGATTTCACAACGAATCACCTCCAATGAAGATCGCGGGAGTGAGTGTTGACAATAAAAAATCTTAATTTCCAAAATATAGCTTCTGATAACTATATAAATTTGGTAGGAATCTTTCATTTCTAATGAAGAGATCATCTCAAAATGGATTTTAACAAATTTTACTCCTGATAGGGATTGCGGGGCTGGATTTTAAAATCTACAATTTTAATTTACAAATTATAACTTCTATAGACTCCAAATTTGGTGGGAATCTTTGTGTATGATGTCAAGTTAAGCTAAGAATGGATTTTCTCGAATTCTAATCTAATAAGGATTGCGAGTGCGTTAACAATGAAAATCTCTTATTTCAAACAATAGTTTCTATGGCCTCGAACTTTTGTTGGAACCTTCTGTTTATAATATAGAAATAATCTCGAAAATTCCTCCCCTACATAGGAGTGCGGGAGTGATGATTGTCAAAAAATTCATATTTTTCCTACAGATATAAAATTTGATAAAATCTCAAAAGAGAAACAGGAAATCACAGGGATGGCCTCCAAGGTCAACCGCGATTTACATATTTTTCTTTCTTAATAATTATATTTTCTTACAACAATTGTCTCTTTGGCAGCGGCTAAAAAGTCATTATAACGTTTCCAAAATTTTACTTTACTTTTTGGACTTTTTGGGTTTGGTACCCAGGAAGTTTGCTCACCGGACTAGGATGGGAAGTCCATCCATTCTCGCATATTCTATACACTCACATTAAGATGATCCTCTCCACAATCCTTTCCCAATCCCTTCCTACCAATTATCCTGTTACGTGAATGTTGGAACGCTTAACGTAATAATTATCCGTAACTCCTATTCTTTCCCGATTCACAGCATTATTTATATTTGTTAAAAAACGGATAATTATTACGTGAAGCGTTCCAACACTCACGTAACAGGATAATTGGTAGGAAAAGATTGAGAAAGGATTATGGAGAGGAACCTCTTAATGTGAGTGTATAGAATATGCGAGAAAAAAATTATTAGATAGCTCGGACTGGGATTTGAACCCAGAACCTTCCGAAGACATATCGGCTACTCTACCATTTGAGCTATCCGGTCTATACTAAATTTCCTTTCACTTATTCTATATACATTAAGCCACACCGTCCATCTTACGGCTAGCATTTTTAACAAATATAAATAATGCTGTGAAGCGGGAAAGAATAGCTATAACCAACAATACTTTACATAGGTAGTTCTCGTTATTTCTTTCCGGCTACATTTTATTTTTGCTGATCACTAACCGATGAATTGTTCTCATTACGGAGGAAATTTTAATTAACAGCAAAATTCGCTGCACTTTGAGCTAGGCAGATTTCAATTTCACTTATGAGACCTACAATAACTTTAACTGAAACTTTCAATGCTCATTTCAAATTTTTTTTTTCGTGTTAATTATTATTCATTTTTTGAAGAAAGCCACGAGAATGTTATATTAATTGCACATTAAAAGTTACAATAAATATTAGCTAGAATGATCACATGGATAGAAGGTAAATGCCAATTCGATGAAATTCGGAATCTCTGTAAGTCAATACAATACTCCAATTAAATTTCAAGTTTAAATCTAATATATAAAATTCTTGTTTACAAATAAAATTCTATAAACGCCCAGCGGAGCGGGCGGGTAACAGCTAGTTTATTGAATATATGCGGTGCATACGCAAGTGAATCTACGACGTTATGACCGATACTGTACGCTCAATATACTGTCGAATCACGGTAATTTTACGCTACTGTCACGGACAATAAAATAATAAAAAATACTTCGGACAGTTTAGAGCGGGACTTGAAACCGGCTCATCTGATTGCGCGCCCGAGACTTTACCAGTTAGGCTATCTGAGACACCTAATGCTAACCATTAAGTGTTAAATCAAAACAACAAAGACATATCAAAATATTTTAGTTTTAGCTATAAAACAATTTATATAAGCAACGAGATCTAGCAAGTAGTTTAGCGCAGCTGGACGAAAGTTGCCACTTTCCGCCCGGAGGGCAAAAAATGTTATTTTTAACAAAAGACACTTTCTCTTCTCGCTGAGCGATACAAATTTTTTAAATAAGGAAAGTGACTGTTCTCATCCTATTTGTATTTTTTGTTAACTTCCCACTAAGAAAATTGAAAACTTTCAAAAATCGGGAAGTTATTGTTTTTA